TTTTATATAATTAATTATTTTTCAAAATTATATATATTATATTAATTACCTGCAGCGTTGAAGTCGGGATTGCCTCAATTATTGATTTGATGCACTGCTTCAATTCAGTCAAATTTCTGGGTTTTGTTTTTTACAGCTCCTGCTTGACATAACCCCATAAAAACAAGTGTGGTGCAGTCAAGTCAGCTGAACTTGGGGGCTAGCGGAAAGTGGTGTTTCTCGATATTAATTTGTTTTAAAATTTTCATTGGAGCTCCGCAATAACCGGTCTAGCTATGTCTGCTGTTGCTCCATCTTGCTGGAGCCAAACGCTATTGAAAGCAACACATCTTCGACGCAGTTCTGAACAAAAAAAATCATTCAACGGTACCCATTAACAGTTACTGTTACACCATTTTCTTCAAAGAAGTATGGCCCGACAATACAACTCTATTTAACTGCGCACCACACACAGTGACTCGTGCTGGGTGAAATTCCGTCTCGTGACGTATAATATTACTAGATTTGATTCACTCCATATACGGCAATTTTGCTTGTTTACATTTCCGTTTAGATCAAAATGAGTCTCATCAGACATAAACAGGCAATTTATAAATGTATTGCCATATCAATAATTTTTGGGCAAAATTCCAGGCAAATAGGCAAATCTAGAGCGTTTAACCCGCTTGTTATTTGAACTTTGTGCGAAAACAGGCTTAAGTCAACATGAATTATCCGTTATAATGCTAATTCCAAGTTGCTCGTCGATTTGCCTCAAGCGCCGCGCTTGTTTCTTGAAGACGAATATACACAACTCGATGGTACGGTCTTCTTGCGTTACTACCATATTCGACAAATATGTTTAACAACCTCATAATGATCCAACTACACGGAGGAGTGCCGTCAAAATCCCATCTGAATTCGCTTTGGACGGAAATGACGCGGACTGCAAAGCATAGTACCGCTGCACTATACAAACCTTATTTTTGTTATTCGAAGCAATTATTTTTAACAAATTTCAATAATAATCTGCCAAATAAAAAAAGTAAGTCGATTACTCACACAGAAAAAACGTTATTACGGTTGTTTTTTTTAGCACGATTTGTGTGTCACCCTGTACAATCAGCATTTTTCTAAGCTTTTCTATGGAGAGCGGCAATTCCATATTAATTCTTTCAAAAACAGATATGAGTTTTCCACGTTGCTGTAGTAGTAGAATCGAACAACTCAGCCAAAGTTCTTTTTGCATAAATAAATTCCATACTTTAGAAGCAATTTGCTCATCAAATAGCGCGCTTGACCGTTTTTTATTTGGTTGCACCCTGTAGAAAGTGCTAATATTTGCTGAAATTTTTATGAAAACAACCAAAGAGCACAGTTACCAACAAGTGCTACTATTTTAACCTACCACTTACATAATTATGCCAAACCAAAGTCTATGCGCCTAACATTACGCTTCATTTCCACAGATAGTTTCATTACCTGAGTAAGTAGCGAATTGAAAATGCAACACTTTGTTTTTTATGCCATTGTGTTTTAATAATTCATCGAATTTTCGGAATAATAACATTTCTTCACATTATTTAACTTATAATTGTGTGTGTTTACATTTTTATTGCGTTTGCTATTTAATTTTTTATTTATGTTGTTTTATGTTTTATTAAATTTTTTCTTTAATTTATATCATTCGCTATTTTAGTGTTCTCGTATTTTATACCATTCTAAAATGTGTGTATGTGTGTAATATATATATATTACACAAAAAAGCGCATTCGTTAATATATTATATAAGTGATTTATATATATATATTTTTTTGTTGTTTTATGATTTATATATTTATATTTTTTTTTGTATGCTTTCTCACTTGTTATTTTTCTTTTTTTTCTCTTAGTTGACATTTTATTGGCTTTAGTTTTATTTTATTTATTTTTTTAAATTTATTAACTTGTTTCTTATTTTATTTTATTTGTTTTTAATTTATTAACTTGTTTATTTCTTATTTTATTTTATTTTTGTGTTATTTGTTATTCTTTTCTGTAAACTAAATCTAAACTAATTGTGGTGTTTTAACACTTTACTGAAGACTTGTTGTATTTCTGTATTTCTGTGCTAACGTTACACATAACTTTTTTTTTTTTCATTATTATAATTTGTTTTGTTTAAAATTTTTATTTTGTGTCCATATTAGTAACAATGTTGTTATTTGGATTTTTACTTTTGATGTTGTTAAAATTATATATTTTTGTTTTAACATATTTGCCAGTTTTAGATTAAGTACAGAAACTAGGTTAGTTGTCATTTTCTGTTACATACATATCAGCCTAAAAGTATGCGATTTCTTGAAATTATTATATTGTATTATAATTTTTTTTTTAAGTTTGCATGGTTTGTTGCTTGATTTGGTTTTTCAGTAAAACAAAAAAATTCCAAAAAAAATTTTTTTTAATTTTGAATTTTCGCATTTTTTTTTCATTTGCAGCGATTTAAAATAATATAACGCGATTGTTTTTATTATTGCTGCCTTTTACTGTTTGCCTTGATAATTTTTCGGCTGAAAATTCTTAACTAATTTGGTATACTACACTTAAAACACAGTACTTAAAACAACGTTTTTTCATTACTATAATTATATTCCTTTAATATTTTTCCAACTAGAATTTCAAGAATTTAAGTTCAGAGTTTGTGCAATGAAGGCGAAAAAGTATTTTTTTTCAAGGATGTGTATGAGAATTGCGCAATATATGTACTTTGAAGGTAGCTGGTTGGTGGTAATGTATATGAAATGGCGCAAAATGTGTGGGCTTTGTGAGATGCGAGCGAGAGAGCATATTTGTGGTGACGTCATAATAGCGTGGTTGAGTGCGCAACTGTCAAATTGACAAATTGTTCAATGAAAATCAATTTTGGAGCTGAAATTCAATTTTGGTTATGAAATTCAACTAAGTGGAGGCATGAGTGTGTTGATTACTTTATTTTTGTGTTAAGTTTAGAATTTCATTTGGAGTTTTTTTTTTTTGGTTTTTTTGGCATGCTGTTTAGTTGCAAAGTTTGAGCGTCTATTTAGATTGCTTCTTTCATGTTTATGATTTTATAGTTAGTAGTGGTTATTAGGTGAAGTATTTTTAGTTGATTTATCGTTACCGTTACATAGCTGTTAATATAATAATTTTACTACTCGTCAACATTTTTAGCAAGTACATATGTTTTTAATAAGTTAAAATATTAGTATTTTCTTTAGTTTTGTTGTAAATTTTAGTAGCTAAAGTTATTGAGTGATTTTCTCGAATTTAGAGGCCGCAGCTTAAAACCTTAAAACGCATATTTTATTTTCTTTAAGTTTTTGTTTTTTGCTACTTATTGTATACGATTTCTGCTTTCATTAATTTAATTTGTATGCGACTAGCACAGATCTAAGAACATTTTTTGTTTACGTTTACGTCTATTTTTTTTTAATTTTTCTTTTTTGCATTGTGTTTTTTTAGAAAAATATTTTTTTCATCAAACTTTCTGCTACATTTAAATATGGGTTTTTCAAATAATATTCATTTTTTTTTAATATTATTTATTTGCTGCGTTATGTTTGCCAGGTGCTAATGTGGTTGTGTGGGAAGTTATGTCGTGTTGTTGTGTGCTGAAGCGTGCAAGAGTTTGTGTACTTAGTTGTTAGCGAATTTCAAAATAAAAAACGGTGCTGTTAAATAATTTTACTGTTGAAATAAAACTTTAAATTTCAAGCTATATTATTTTTGACGCCAAATTATTGGTATTTTGTGTTTGAAAGCAACTCAAACACACTGCAAACTATGCGCATAATTTTTTTTAAATATTTAGCCTACTTTCAGGCGTATTTGCCATTGGCATACCACACTGCGTGTAGCATGTTTTTGATGCGCTGAAGCACAACAAAAGTGATTTTCGCATATGCCTACAAAAACAGTTTATAGTGTGTGTATAATATATTAAGTTTTTTTCACGTAAGTGTGCTACTTAGTGGAGTCATACTTGTTGCTAAGCACTATATTATATAATAACATATTAAAAGGTCGCTTTGAGTTTTTGCGTTTTAAAATTACGGAATTTCGTTAAAAATTTAAGAAATGTAAATCATAACTGTTGAGCGCATATTATAAAGATATACATACTTTTAGGCGCATGATAGGAAAGAGAAGAATAATGTCATAACTAATTATTTTTCGAATGATTTAAAGCGTTTCAAACGCTTTGTGACGCTTTATGTTACGGTCGCATATAATTCGAAGCTCAGCGATCTTAGAAACCGTTATGAAATTGGAAACTAGCTATGAATGAAAAGCTACAAACTTAAAGCGAAGCCTAAAATAAATAATTTTTAATATTTTTTTTAGCAGCCGTAGTGTGTTCCATGCATTATAGTGCCAGAATAACGGTTAGTGAGAGTGTTTGCTCTACATATTGCAATCTTAAAAAAAGGCTTATTTAAAAAAAAAAGATAAAGAATTATTTTTTAAAAAAAGATAGGCATTTTTTTTTTTTAAGAGAAAAAGGCTTATTTTTTAAAAATAGCTCTTCAATGATTACCATATATTAATCTGCACGCATTTAGGCATGCGACAAAATTTAAAAGATTTCTAAAACATAAATTCCGCGCTTTGGCTAACACCTAAACGTAAGGGGTACAAAAAAGTAAAACACAAGTTGCTTTTTATTTTCTCATTGAAGGAAATAGTGAAACATTAGAATTTATTGTATTTACACACAAAACTAATCTCGTACACGCTTTTTGTATTTTTTTGTATTTTTTTTTTAATTTTTCACTAAACTAAATCAACTTTTCACTTTTTGTTTAATACTAATAAAAACTGCATATACTCGTATGTATGTACATACATATTATATATAAATATACATATATATATATATATTAGCGCATTTGCTTGCATAACTAACACTACAACATAACTAATGCATTTTTAATATTTTTTTTTTTAATTACATTAAATTAAATTAAATTAATAATAAAAGAACATGATCGAGGTGCCAGTTAGGTATGCATGTAAATGTGTTAAGGTTTCGTATATTTGCTATAATTGCGTAGATACATACATATATATTTGTCAACATAACAATAGAACATAATTGTTTTTGCAATGCTGCAATGCTGCAATTTTTCAACTTTTTTTTATACATAAAATAATAATAATTGTTTGCAATTATAAATTATATAATTTTTTTTATTAAATTTCAATTGTACACAAAATTACACAGCGCGCAAAATATTATAATTTGCATTTTGTGTAGCACAGTGTATGTTAAACCTTTAACGTTTCTAATAAAGCAAATTGCAAGCGAAAATTTTTATTAAAAACAAAAAAAAAAAATTTACAAAGGCGACAAAATCTGCACAAATAAGGAACTTTTCTTACTGCTTTTGACGCTTTAAGGCTAAACTAATGCAAGTGTAAGTGTAAAGCGCATAACTAAATATGTATGTATATATTAAATTTTATATATATTAAATTAAATTAAATTTGTGAGAGCGCGTGCAATGGTAAATGTTTGACTTTGAAAGTTTAAAGCATGCTTGTCTGAGCAACTAAATTATTATTATTTTAATATTTTAAATATAAGAATTTGTAGTACTATTAACTGCTAGGTGTGGTGTTCCGCGCGTGGCTACTTTAAGTGAGCTTAACACGCTGAAGCTACAAGCACATATACATAACTGCGCTTATTTATATAACATATATAATTACACATGTGAAACCTGAGTCCGATGCAACGTACAGCGCAGAGAAGTGCCTTTGTATAACGATTATTATTTGAAATTATTTGAAATGTAGTGTGAAGTAAAAGGTGCGTAGTTAAAAGCAAGTTAAAGCGCCTTGTGTTGAAACTCAAAAAAAAAAACAATATTGTTACATAATTTTAAACTTTTGAGCAAGTCCACCTTTTACCGAATGTGACAAATAAAAATCTGTTTGCCAATTAAAATATAAACTTAGTAAACAATGCACAGCGCCATTTCGCTAAGCAAACATTATTTTTAGGCATAGAAATCAGCTTATATAAGATTTGATTTAGGATCGGTGCATAATTTGGGAAAGCTTAAAACAATATTTTGTTGCAAAATTTATATTTTTTACAGAAATGTATTACGCCAACGCAGCAGAGTGTTGCCAGCTTGCTATACTAAATACAGTAAGCAGCCAGCAAACATATATAAAATTGTCCAGCTAAACTTGTGAAAATTGTAGACAATACATACAAACACACATATCTTACATAGTGTGTACTTTTTGACTTTACTTGGATTTGTACGTAGCGCTTGGCCTTAGCAGAGCAGTACAAAATTAATTTCATATAATTTTTGTATTTTTTTTTTTTGTTATTTTTGCTGTACAGTAGAAGCTGCTAATTTATGTAGAAAGAACAACTAAAACCTTTGATATAGTCTATAAGGTTGCATGGTGCTGGTAAAATTCAGGTTTGCTGTCTAGTGGCACAAACAATTACTTTATTAGACTCACTGCTAAAACACGACAAAACAATTAAATTAAATATCGAGATATTGAACGCGGTTGAAACCACAAGTTAAATGTTTGACAAACGAATTTAAAAGTCACATTAAAAAATAAATTAAAAAAATAAAAATAAAAAACAATAAAAAAAAAAATAAATAAAAAAAATAAAAATAAAAAACAATAAAAAAAAATAAATAAAAAAAATAAAAATAAAAAACAATAAATAAAAAAACATAAATAAAAACAAAATTATTAAAAAAAATTAACAAAAAAAAAATAAAAAAAAATAATTGAAAAAATAACAAAAAAAAAAAATAATAAAAAAAATTAATTGAAAAAATAACAAAAAAAAATAAAAAATAAATGAAATAAAATAGAAAAAATAAAAAAAAAATAAAAAATAATATAAATATTTGTCGCATGCTATAAGGTCTGTATTACAAAACACAATTTCTAATTTTTAAACCAAATCACTTTTCGCCTGGCAAAATAAAAAACCAAAAATTGACATCAACTCTATGTCTTGAAAGCTGCTTACATGTCACAAAAAAACGCCTTTTTGTTACTGTAACGGCAGCAAATATTTGCCACGCAGCCTAGTTGACAATAACCAAACGCATATAAATACGCGTCTATTCCGTCTATTCCGCTTAGCTACACCTGACATTCGCTGTTGCTAAATAACATTTTGGGCTGCCGCTACAACAACGTTTTGGGCATTAGGTAAGTAATTTAGAAAGAAGCACTAAACTGCTTTATGGTTTATAATTCGATGTTGAAAGTTTATAAATACGAAAAAAAGACAACCCACCATGCAAATCATGACATTTAACAACAAAATGAATTTGGTGATTTATCGTTAATTTGCGGCGCGTGTATTTGTGGCTAGTTATAATGTGCTGGGGTGTGTGAGTGACTGGCTGGCTGACGCAATTAGTTAATTTTATTTATTAATTTTTACTTTTTTTATTTTTCGCTTGCACAGTGCATAATGCTAGCTTAGTTCTCAGCACTTTATTTATAACACTTTAATTTCTGGGGTTTGCTTTTCGTTTTGTTCGCTAATATGTTTGTGAGTTGCATTCAGGTGTTTATATCTGTTTGCTAAATTAAGTTTTATTTGTATTTTGTTTGTTGGTGTAACACCAGATACAGACACAATTACAATCAATCAATATAGTTTTCTGCTATTTTGCATTTTTTTATGTTATATATTTATATTTTCATATTTTCTCTTTTCTCTTTTTCTTTAAATTATTCATATTTGTTTGCTGTTTTTTACTGTTTTGTATTCTTACTTCTTAGTTAACACTACTCTATATATTGTAAATATAAAGCAATAAGCGTCATACATCCTTTGCGGCCGCAACGGCAACACTTTTAACATCGTTATCATTATCATCTTTGTTTTTGTATTTAGCTTTGTCTTCAATTTCAACTTCAACACCGACTACTACAACATCAACATTATACTTGCGACCATAAACAAGTTCGCTTCCTACGCTAGGGGCAACAGCAGTGGCAATGGGTGCGGCAACAACGGCGGTGGTGTTGGTGTTGGTGGTGGCGTTGGCGTTGGCAGCGACGGCGCCATTAACAATAGCACTTGCGTTAGCACTAAGGGCTGCAGTAGCAGCAGTTTCGACAGCAACAACAGCAGCTGTCACTGCACTAGGATATCTAACAACATACAAATCAACACTTGCAACGCGTCCAACTAAAGCAGCTACATCAACGGCATCATCAATACAAGCTTTCGAAACTAAGTGTATACTACTTGCGCACGGTGTTGCCAACTATGCTGTTGTTGTTGTTGCTGCTGCGCTGGCATTCGTTGCTGTCGTGGCTGTGGCGCTGACGGTGTTCGCGTTCGGCGCATTGCTCGCATTGCACTGTATTAGGCCACTGTGCTGCTGGTGTTGCTGTTGCTGTTGTGTGAAATGGTGATGCGCCACAGGCTGGTGCGCATGCGCGTGCTGATGATGGTGATGGTGATGATGATGATGGTGATTATTGTTGAAATTCAAGTGCAAAGCGCCGGCGCCGCCATTGTTGCAATTCACCGCCACCTCCGCGTTCTGTTGTTGTTGGTGTTGCGGCAGCGTTGAGGTGCAATAGCGTGTCGCCGTCTCGCCAAACTCACCGCTACTCAAATCACCCAATATACCACCGATAAGGCCACCACCGCCGCCAAAGACCGCCGCTGCTGACGACGCGTGCGTATTATTCGGCTGTTTCGTCTGCGCTTCGGGTTGCGTGCAAATAGGCGGCGCTGCCGCGTCGCCATCGATGAGCGTTGTACCCGCTGACTGCTGCTGTTGCAGTAAATTGACGTCGTCTGCTCCCGTATGTTGCTGTTGCTGCTGCTGCTGCGAGTGCGCGTGTGTTGCCGAGCCGCCACCACTGCTGCAGCTGCTGCTGCTATTCGCGATACCACTGTCAGTTGTAGTGCTAGTGCTGGTACCACCACCGCCGCCGCCGCCGCAGCTACTGCTGCCACCATCCGTTGTGGCTGTCATTGTGGACGAGGCGAGCGAGCTTTGGCCATCGTCGGTGAGGCGCAGCGCCACCTCCAGGTCGCGCAGCACGTCCGTCTCCTTCTCGTCGATCAGCGTGAAGCGTCGATGCAGTGCGGTCAGGTGCGCAAAGGTCAAATTTAGATGGGTGTGCAATCCCAGTAGCGCGATTTCTCGGAAATGCGCCGCATAGAGATGAGCTATCACATGAAATTGCAAGCGTAGTATTTTGCGGGCAATCGATTCGAACGAACTCGGAAATTCGTTGGCATATTTGGTTGGGAATATCGACTCGTCGCTGACTGTCTTCTGCGTGAATGTCATCACATAGTCGATGTATTGTGGAGCGGCGACGCGCGTCTTCTTGCCTTTCTCATCGAACCATAAGTACGTTCTGCGGCGAGAGAAGAAAGCAAGCATGAATGGAAATGAAATTTGGGGCAATCAATTATTGCATACCTGTTGCCGGGACCGGTCATGTCTGCACAACCAGAGGGCGTACAAAATTCACTAATAGTTCCATAAACCAGGTTTACGTGCTCAAATAGAGCCAGTGCTGAAAAGATAAATGAGTGGCAATATGTTTTTGTTAGAACGCAGTGTTTGTTGCAGTACTTATATATACAAAAATATATAAACAAGTGTGTATTAATAGCTTTTGAACTAACTATAGAAGATCCAGACACGATAATGACATCATACGAGTGAGTTAAACGCTTGTTGCTTATTTTTCAGTTAAAAACACATTTCCACTAAGAGCTTATGATAATATTTAATAATGGGTCATCAACAACAGCACGCATAGCACACATACGTATGTATGTATGTATGTATGTGGGTACATATGTGCGAGCATTTTTGAGATTGTAAGCGTCGATAATGAGTGATGGTTAAAAATGTAAACAAAGTGATTCTTTGCTATTTGAGATGATGTAACCAAAAAGTGAGCCAATACTACCGCATATTTACAGCAATGATACAATTCGCTGAAAATTTATAGATTTTTGTTTATTTTTTTTTTTTTGTGCACATTTTTATTCTGAAATCTTGCGAATAACCAAATGTTCAGTAAACATTAAATTGGCAGCCATGACAAAGCAAGCAACTTAAATATAGCAACTGATTAAAAAGTTTTATTAGGAACACATAAAAAGATGACAAGTAATTGATGTATTGCTCAATCAATTTTCAAAGATATGAGAAAGGTAATCAATAAGGTAATCAAGTATGACAAATTGTCACAATTGCGAAAAACGACTGTACATTCAATATAATACACTATTGCAATAAAAAAGTTGAGTGCGAAATTTAGTGTTATTAATATGAAGGCTGAAAGGCCCTTCTTCTTTACATAACCACCTTTCATTCGCTGTCAATTTGTTACATGACTTTATCAGCTGTCAATTTGTTACATGACAAGTAACAGGCAAAGCTTGAAATCCGAAAGATATACACGAATTGCTCAATTGGCATATTGTCTCCTTGTCGTAGTGAATTTTTAAGCTCAACACAAAATTTTCTCTATATGCGTTCTACGTTAAATATGCATATCAACTATATTGGGTAGGAAAATATGTGTTCTACCATGACTTTGAAAAAGTAAAGAAGGAAAATTTTCGAATTCGAAACTGGTACTAAAATTTTAAATGTCTTTAATGAGAGGTCTAAAAGAGGTTAGTTTAGAGTTTTATGATATAAATCGCAATAGTAAGTCCGTAGGTATATTGCTGACATGAAAATCGTGACGTAAGATCTTTTTAGCGTTTTTGCTTGTCTTCGGAGATAAAATTTATAACATTCTTATAGCACTACACGGAATTGAGCTTTACACCACAAAAAGAAGGAAAAGTTCAGCCAAATAATTACAATAAAGATGTGAGCATAGGTTTATATAGCACTCACAGTCGCACAAAAGCATACTCGATTTATGAAAAACGAGTATCTTTGTAACAGCAATTAAGCGATATACAGTTGGTAACAACACAACGAAAAGAATGTTGCTGATGTTTATTTTAATAATTTTACCCTGAGCAGGGTATATTAAGTTTGCCACGAAGTTTGTAACACCCAGAAGGAAACGTGGGGAACGCTATAAAATATATACATAAATGATCAGCATGATAAGCTGAGTTGATTTGTCTGTCTGTATATACGCGAACTAGTCTCTCAGTTTTTGAGATATCGATCTTAAATTTATGATATGACCATTTCTCACTAAGAAGCTGCTCATTTGTTGGAATGTTCAATATCGGAGCACTATAGCATATAGCTGCCATACAAACTGAACGATCGAAATCAAGTGCTTGCATGGCTAACTTTTTCATTTGACGTGAAATTTTCACGAAATTTGGAACGGGTTATTATTTAAGCCAAATCTAATCGCCAAAGAAATTATTCAGATTGGATGACTATAGCATATTGCTGTCATACAAGCTGAACAATCGGAATCACGTGCTTCTAAGGAAACTTTTGTATTTGTGAAGGATGCAACCGCAGTTAACGTTTTTTCTTGTTTTTACTATATTTTAAAATTACTTTTAAAAACACAAAATTATTTTTATAATTGTTTTTTTTTTTGATATCTGCGCCATTTTAGCCTATTTATTTAATCAGTTGAACACAATTAAGCTAATCTTGATTTGTCATGTTCAAAAAACAATACAAAACAAAATTCTGTTGATAAAGTTTAATAATCAAACAACTAATCTTCGAAATCTGCGCTTTCTACATACATATATATTTTTGGATGCTTTCATTAATTGTGAAGATATTTTTATAGAAAAACTTTGTTTAGATTAGATAACTATATTTATTTATATTTTCATATAATTTATTTTTTAATGTAAATATCAATACGTTTTGTTGTTTTTTTTTTTATTTATATTACTTTGCTTTTTTTGTTTTTGCTACGTTCGTTTAAAATTTCGGCACAATTTTATATTTTATAATTTTGATGACAAATAATCGCACTAAATTGAATAGCGTTAAAACTTACTGTGTGACGCCAGCCATTCGTTATAGTCCAAGCCAGCTGGAAGATCCACTAAGGCTTTGAGATCGGCTTCAGGTAGCTTACGTTCTAGAACGCTCTCCTCCAAATATAATTTGGTATCTGTTGAATTTTGATCGCCATCGCGCTCTTTACGACGCGCTTTTCTGTAATTAAACAAATGGGAAAAGGAAACATGTAATTAGTAAGCAAAGCGATAAGTGCGTAATAAAGATACTAAATTATATAAATTAATAAAAGTACATACAATATGACAGCGTAAAATCACAAAGTTGCGAATATCAAAGAACAAGCTGACAACTGCTGCGCCAACATTTTTGTGTAACGCTGCAACAACTGCACACACAGAGGAGTATATGGTATGTATATGTAGAAGATATACTAACACAACTGTAGATGTATGCATATAAATTAAAATTGATAGGTTAATCGCTGTAAAACAAAGAGCTGCACTATTTATTACCCAAGTTGGTCAATGGCCATACATTTTTTTCGACACTTTTATTAGCAACAAAAAATGAGCACAAAGAAGATTTCCAAAAAAAAAATCTTAATAAGCACAAAAATAAAAACAGCAACTCTGTTCTGATAAAATATTAAATTATAAAAGCATTGCGCGATTTTATTGATTTACCAAGAAATGCATTAATTATTGAGCGGCAGCAGATGGGCGATAGCGCAGCGCACTTCATGGAGCCACGTCGAGCTGGCACACCTGTTAGCTTTCCAGCGCCAAATAGCCGACAAGTGTTTTATTTACAATACATACTTATAATTTTTGCGAAATTATTTTAACGCTCATTACGTCAGCTTAGGTGCCACGCCTATAAGGGCAGCTGTTGCCACTTCAGAATGTTAGTAGAGTATTTTTTATTTAAATTATGTGTTTACAAAAATAAAACAGTGTTGAATGAAAATCATTTACGGTTGGGCCTCCAAACACGCACACACATAAATAAACAAACAGTTGATCTTATCAATTATGAGTGTTTGAAGGCTGATAAGTGCTGCCTGTTCGCAAATCCGTAACAAGTGTTTATATGTTGAACCAACAGGAAGCTCAGCGGTATATACGGGTAAATATTTGTGTTAAAATGACTGGCTTGTCAAACGTGGCTTAAGTAGCTAATAATAACGGGTATTTACAAAAATTAGTCGTACAATCAATACAAATTCTCTTCAAATGCATATATAGAAGTTCTCTCAATAAATGTTAGGCTAAGCACACAGTGGATGGATCGATTTAGTTTTTAAAATAAAACAAGCAGCTTTGAAAGGTTTTTCAGCTCTTTATTGGGTAGGGTGGAGCGAAAATTTTTTTTTTTTTGCTTAGCGTGAGGTTAAAATTTTTAGATTATAAAAAAAAAGAAAATTATAGGACTAACTTATAAAGTAAATTTCGAGCTAAAATTTTTATTTCGTAAAAAATGTTTTAAAAGTATTCTAGAAGCTGCGTAGAGTTCTCTTTCTGGACAATTAAAAGTTCTCAACTTAAAAAAAAATTGTTTTGGTCATTATTGGAGTTTTAAAAAAAGTCTTAAACGACAACATGCTTTTCTTAAGAGTTAAAATAAATTTTGAGTCAAAAACCGTCAAATTCAGTAATTTTTATATAAATGTGAAGAGTTTAAACCAAAAAAAAATTTTGTTGTCCAAAAAAAATTTTAACTCGAAATTTACTGTAAAAGTGTGAAATTTTTTTTTTTTTACTTTTTTACTCTCAGGCTAAGCAAAAAAAATTGTTTTTTCGCTCCACCCTATTAATAGGGTCGATTTTTGCATTTCCTGAGCATATTTACCTCAGTATAATGTGTATATTTTTAATACCATCAGAAAGTAGAAATTTCAAAACTTAAAAAAAAAATTCTGAAATTTTGACTTGAGAGTTTTTGATGGAAAATGAGCGTTTTTTCGATCTATAGTCGAAATATGATTTCCTCGTTAATATTAAAGAAAAAAAAATTACAGTGTGTTTGGAACATAAGAAAGTAAGTACACAGCGAAATTCGTGAAAAAAAATGTTTGTTTGTATAAGATAAAAATAAAAAACTCAAAAAGTTGGTGATTTGAATTTTTCACATAAATATTGAAGTTATGTAGAAAAGGTAGAAAACGAAATATACCGTTTTTAACATTTAAAAATACAACCATGCCCCTCCACGTTACTTTTTCTGACTTTAGATCGCACGTAAATTCTTATCCTTTAATATAATATTTGTTATTTTATCTGTCGTTTCCGATCGGTTTCATTCTACTGTGAATAGTTTTTGTTTTCAAAATGTATCTACCCTGGTCTACTAGTACTAAAAAAAGCTTTGCGTTTCGGTATACAAGTATATCGCGCATTCTCAAAAATTTCTGAATTTCCCTGATACCATTGCATTCTTATGATTTATAACTTGCGCCACCATGCGCTTAGCCTATGTAAGTGTATGATAAAAAATGCTGTTCGAGGCAATTACACATTCAACAGTTGTTCTTAAAATATCTTTGTGGTTTTGATAAGGAACTGCTGAGTATCAACATTTAATGTTTTCGTTAAGCATATTGGTTCAGAGTTTACTTGATATGATTGAAAGTTGAAAATTTTAATAATACTAATATTTTTGCGAAGAGTCATTTATAACGCGTGATACAAGTGGAGGTACTTTTATCAATAACCTTTAATTAACAGATCACGTTTGAGTCGTGTCAAACTGTAATGTTATTTTTGTTTACTATTGTTTGGCATTTCAGCATAGAGAGCACACTTCGGTGAGCAGATAATTTCATGTTTTAAGCCACCAAAATCGTGTGATATCCGCTAGACTTTTTCCTGTGGGGATATGTAAAGTCTAAGGTCTATGCGTACAATTTCGCTTCGATTCAGACCTTGGAGCAAAACATTATGCGCATCATTCGTCAGTTACCAGTCGAAATGCTTGAACGTGTCATCGAAAATTGTACTCAACGGATGGGCCGTCTGAGACGTAGTCGCGGCCAACATTTGAAAGAGATAATCTTCAAAAAATAAAGGACAAAGTATGTCCTTTCGAATTATAATAAAGATTCACCATTAAATTTTTGTTTTTTTCCTTAATGGATCACACTATATATATTGGGTATATTGTGGTTTTTGTACCATATATGGTCGTTTAAATATAGATTTTTCTTAAATCCATGCATTTTTTCACTCGAAAACTATTCTTGAAAATCAAGGAACAGCAAGTGTGATAAAATTATAATTGTTTTCAAAGCGTTAAAAAAATTGTTAGTGAAATTATACCAACAATTGACTGCAAACCGCACCTAACTGACTTACTCTCCTTCGGCGCACGACAACCGCTTTACTGCGTATAGGTTTAAAACACACAGAGAGCATATAAAATTTAAAATATTCGCTTAGAACAATCTTTAAGCAGCAGTCAGCTGCTGCACAAAAGCTTAAAGTTTCGAAACATTTTTTAAAAAAGTTCGAAGCGTCAGTGGATGGGTAAAAAGTAGCGAGAAACAGGGCCAAACATTCGTCACTGATGTAACACAGCGATGACGCATTTCACGATAGATTGCTTTTGGTAAATAGTTGCGGAAGTGAAGTCAGGTGATATAGGTACAAATGTACTTTCTGTGCGTACAATCGCAGGCAATTTTGTGTTAATGCTTTGTCATTATTAGAATCGTATGATATTCAAATGTGGCGCTCGTGTATGGATATTTTAACAAAGTACACGAATAAGCGATTAAAAGCGTGTTGTTGCGAACACAAAAAACTTGCTGGAATACATATTTATATTTACAGCTGCCAGTAAATTCATCAAACTGCAAAAAACAAACCTTAAGATAAGTATTTCATCGATAAATATAAATACATGTTACATAAATGCGAATTTTGTGCAACCAATACACTAGTGATGCGCGCGCCACTCACCCGGCTACGCAGAGTATTGTCTCGACCGAGTCCTGCGCATATCTGTAGATGGTGCCAATTGTCTCACCGATTTTCGTCGGTAACTCCGTTACCTGCCACATAAAACGCACCGTTTTCAACAGACATTTAACCACAAACGAACTGGGTCCGTGGGCGGGACTCTTGTTCGTCGCAACACCTTTGCGCGTTGGTGGACGTGTTGGCGGGTGTGTCGCTGCTGCGGCAAAAACTGAATTTGCACGAAATGCGTTTGTTGTTGTTGTGACTGTTGCTGCTCCTGCCGCTGTTGTTGTTGTTGTCGCCGTCGCCGCTGCAGCTGCTGCGGATGCCTCCGAGAGCGCCGATGAGTAGGTTGTGGAGGAAAATGAGGATTTGGCGCTGCTGCTGCTGCCGCTGCTCTCGCTGCTAGAATTGTGCGTCCAATGTGCGGTGAATGTGGTGACGTTGGGGTTGAATGTTATCGTTGTTGAAGTTGCAGCACAGTGATTGGCGGCATATGAGTGCGTGGGTGACGTGTCTTGTGCGGCAATAGACGCGCGTGCTGTTGCTGTTGTTGCTGCTAGCGATGCTGTTGACTGTGTTGTCTTTGTGCTGTTGGCGAAATTTCTGGATGCGGTGCGTGTTGTGGCAGTAACAGCGGCGTTGTTGAGCGGTGTGTCGGTTTCATCGGTAGTTTTGCTGTTGGCCAAGGCGAAACTCATTGGGATTAAGGTGTATGCGATTGTTGCTTTGGTTTTATTTGGCACTAGCGTCGCGCTGTTTTACGCGCTATAAATTTACTAGCACTTTTGGGCGCTTTTGTTGATTATTTTTTAATAATTTTTTAACTTATTTTTATGTGTACATATAATACTGTTGGTTTGCTACACATCAAGTGCATTACAGCATATTTTTGGCATTTGACACGCTTTAAATTAATAACTAGTTTTCTTTTCGCTATTTCTTAAAAATGTTTTTGCTTCCAATAATTTCACAAATTGTCGAAAATCTTTGGTTTTTGTTGTGTTTTTACAGTCCAGCTGTGACGCAATACAATTTTCTTTGATAAAATATATGTTTTTGCAGAATCAGCACAACATTTATTGAATTGTTTTCCTGAGCACACCTGCTTTGGCAGTTTACGCTAAGCGCTGTACATATCTAAATGAAAGCAGATTTAATTTTTAATTTCTGATTTTCGTTTTAATTTTGTTTTCACTTTTTACTTTTACGTATTTCGTTAAAGTTCCAACGCGAATTTACTTAATCATGTCTCTTTGCACTTACGCTATGAACTAAACCGCCGCGCATATGATTCAAGTGGAAAAGTAGTAAAGTAAAACAAAGAGCAAAAAAAAAAAAAACAACAATAACAACCACAAGAAAAAACACAGTTTCTTATCTCAAGCACAGCCATAAAAAAAGCTCCGCCGCATGTTGTCGTTGCTAAAACATTGAGTGATGAGCGCCACGGGCCGAGGGCCGATATTGTTTCCTTAGGGGCCGCTTGTTTCACACTAACTCCGCACAGGTTAGTTGACAGTGCGTTGTGTATTGAGACATATGCACACTGAGTGTCAAACGTCGAGCATTCAAAGAGCGCTCTACTATTTGCGCCACGTCGCAGCCAGCGTTGCTGTAGAACACAGCGCGGTTGTGTTGTACAATTTGAGTTTGAGTAGCATTTCGCAAAAACAAACACAGAGCTATACGTAGAATAGCCAACCGAAGGCAGCTTTCTATAGCGTATAGCAAGGTGCGGTAGGGGTTGAAAGTGTTTGTGGGCATAGCACACCATACTGTCTAACAGCACAAAGAAGATACATACAGCCATACACACACACACAAACATATACGCTCAAAGCTTGCGGTTTGTCGCAAGTCATTTAGATGGCTACATACATAACAACATATGTCAATATGTGCATAATAGGTGCTACACTGCGTATGTGTAATATTTTGCAACTGACAGCGCCACTCGCCGCTTGCCGTCTCGCTAGCTTTGCGGTTTCACTGAGTTCCAGCATGGTCAGTCACAGAACTTCCTTCATTCATTCTGATTGTGCAGTGTATGTATGTATGCTAATAGGTGGATGTGTGTTATTGACACGCCACCAACACTTGCACACACACACACACATACATACATACATGTGAACCTTTTAACGACACACGTGCTACAATTAAGCGAAAAAAAAATCAAAACACAAACGAATAGCGCTTATAGAGCCATTTTAACACACTTAAATACACAACTACAAACATATTTGTAACTTTTATACCCTAACAAACGTGGGAGATCCCATAAAGTATATACATACATATCATATATGGTATAAATGATCAGCGTGACGAGCTGGTTTGATTTAGCTATGTTCGGCTGTCTGTCCGTCTGTCTGTATATACGCGAACTAGTCACTCAGTCTTTGAGATATCGCTCTGAAATCTTCCATGCGTACTTTTTTCGACAAGAAATTGCTCATTTGTCGGCGCAGCCAATATCCTATTACTATAGCTTATAGCTGCCAGACAAACTGAACAAGCGGAAAGCTTTTTTATTTCATAAGATAACTGTACGAACTTTTGCATAAATGATTGTCCAAGGCAATGATACAATCTCTGAGCATATTATTTGGATCGAACTAATATAGCATATAGCTGCTATAAAACTGAACGGTTAAAATCAAGATGAAGAGCTTTTTAAACACTTTTATTCTATAAGAAATGCACGTGTGTAGGGTATTAAAATTTCGGTGCGGCCGAAAGTGAGTTTTGTTTTTTGTATTATTTTTTTATTTGTATTTTATTTTATTTTTTTTCTTGGTTTTTTATTTTATTTTTTTCTGTGTTTTTTTTTTTTTTTGTTTTTTGTTTATGGTTGACTTTTTCTGGTCTCAGACAAAGCAAACTCAAGCTGTAAAGCAATAATCAAGCAGGCATTGTTTTGCCTCTATCATTATTACTACGCTTACTGTTATACGTTCTACTTCTTGTTTATCATATCAGCACAACAATTACCGTTATGTGCGTCTTTGTTTTTACTTTTGCTAAATTTTCTCATATCTGTTGTTTATTTCGAGTTTTTTTTGCAGATAAACGCACGCCAGACACTTACATACAATAACTTTTGGCCTAAGGATACTGGACAAAAAAACAACAAATGACACGTGTTTAACGAAAATGTCAATTAATGCGAATTATTAGCTGATAAAGTGGAAATGAATTAAATTGAATAGAAATGTTGATGTTTTTCGACGAGTTGAAGCGATAACATTTATGCCTGATAACTAATTACAAAATTTTAGTATATACATATTTATTATAAGACACACACAAAGCAACATTTAACATATGGAGAATAAGCAATAAAATCGCTTCAAAATGACTTCATCTATATATGTATGTATTTATTTACGCTGAGAAAGTGTGTCAATATTTGCCAAAATAAATCAGCACAGCAATGATTTTTCCATTAAATTGTATTTTTCTTGAACTCAGCAAATAATAAATTAAATAAGCTTTAAACACACACATCGCCACACAATTTCATTTACATACATACATACATACATATACATGTATTGAGTGTGTGTGTGTGTAAGCATTTGATTTTCAATTAGCAAACTGGCGTTGAAGTTGCGCTAAAATCATTGTTTCAATTAAAAAAGCAACTGTCAGCGGAATAGTAAATAAACAACGAGCAACAATAATGCGTGTAAACAACTGCAAAGCTTGCAGCTCTTTATTGCCCGCAAAAAAAATAAAAATTGGAGAAATCAAAAACGATTTAAGAATAAATGTTTATATTTACTTTTGCCTGCGGGATTATTTACATACATATGTATATATTTATATGTATGTATGCTTATTTGTGTGTGTGAATTTGCAAATGGCAAGATGTCAATTCACAGATATGCGCTAAATGGCCAAATATTTTCCAGTTATATAAAAATACGAATGTACATATGAGTTTATAAAAAAAAGTTGATGAGAAATAGTTGTGGCAGCAAATTTTAAAAGAAACTGTGGAAAGATTTTGATAAAAAATAGGTCGCATGTGCACACACTGTGGTTGCCAGATAATTAGCAAGAATTTTGTTTTGCAAGTTTCAACTATTTAGTCTTATTTGTTGCGTTTAGTTAATTTTTTAATACAAAATATAACTTTGTACAAAAAAACTTATACTGAAAATGTTAAACTTTTTATTCAAAAATCGCTGAAAAACAATATATCTATACCGAGTATGGTATGGCTTAATTTGCATTTTACATGGCAGATAATAAGCAAATTCAATTAAAATAAATTATCAGGCAGCATTAAATGGATTAACAGTTAAAATAAACTTTTTTTATTTTGTAATTACTCTCAGTAAATAATCATCAAATTTTTTATTTTATTTTGTAATCCCGAATATCTTAATTTAAAATGCTTTTCAAAATTTTTAACTCAAATATCGTAGTGAAAACAAAAAGTTAATTCCAAATTAATATTTAAAAATTAAAAAAAAAAATTTTTTTGAAAATTTAATTTTTAATCCAACTCCAAAGTTTTTATACTCTCGCAACCTGTTGCTACAGAGTATAATAGTTTTGTTCACCTAACGGTTGTTTGTATCACCTAAAATTAATCGAGTTAGATATAGGGTTATATATATATAAATGATCAGGATGAAGAGACGAGTTGAAATCCGGGTGACTGTCTGTCCGTCCGTCCGTCTGTCCGTCCGTCTGTCCGTCTGTCCGTCCGTCCGTGCAAGCTCTAACTTGAGTAAAAATTGAGATATCTTTATGAAACTTGGTAGACATGTTTCATGGTACCGTGAGACGGTTGGTTTTGCAGATGGGCGTAATCGGACCACTGCCACGCCCACAAAACGCCATTAATCAAAAACAAATAACTTGCCATAACTAAGCTCCGCAATAAGATACAAGACTGTTATTTGGTACACAGGATCACATTAGGGAGGGGCTCCTAAACCGCTAATGCTATAATAACAAAATTCACTGGAAGCAAATGTTTTTAGCACTTCTATTGACGGTGTGAAAATAGTTGATATCGGGTGGCAACTCCGCCCACTCCCCATATAACGGTACAGTTAAAAACTACTAAAAGCGCGATAAATCAAGCACTAAACACGCCAGAGACATTAAATTTTATCTCTGAGATGGTATAAGATGACTTTATAGGAACCGCGTTCAAAATTAGACAGTGGGCGTGGCACAGCCCACTTTTACGTGAAAACCCATATCTTGAGATCTGCTTAACCGATTTCAACCAAATTCGGTGCATAACGTTCTTTTCATGTTTCTATGTCATAGTGCGAAAATTGGCGAAATCGGATTACAACCACGCCTATTTTCCATATGACACCATTTTCAATTCCATCTGATTCTTTCACTTTCCACTATGCAAATCAAGCAACAATGATTATATCGGCGTAAAACTTTGCGTGAATAATACGTTTAAAGTATGCCACCATGTGACCAAAAATTTTCTAAATCGAACCAAAACTGTTCAAGCCCCTAAGTACTAAATATGTGGACCCCAGTGCCTATAGTTGACCTTCTACCGAAAATATCAGTCAATCCACAAAGAAATCTCAAACGAGTATACCATTTGACTTTGCGAGAGTATAAAATGTTCGGTTACATCCGAACTTAGCCCTTCCTTACTTGTTTATTTTATATTTAGTTTTTATTAAAACATTTACAACCCTGTATATAAATAATATTAATATGTAATTTCAAAAATTTTAAACTCAAATACCGGAGTGAAAACAAGAAGTTAATTCCAAGCTTATAATTAAAAATTAAAAAAAAAAAAATATTTTTGAAAATTTAATTTTTACTCCAATTTTTTTTACTAAAACATTTACAACCCTGCATATAAATTATATTAATATGTAATTTCAAAATTTTTTAACACAAATACCGGCGTGAAAACCAAAAGTTATTTCCAAGTTTATATTTAAAAATTAAAAAAAAAAATATTTTTGAAAATTTAATTTTTACACCAATTTTTTTTTTTTTTAACTAAAACATTTACAACTCTGTATATAATTAATATAAATCCGTAATTTCAAAAATTTTAAACTCAAATACCGGCGTGAAAACCAAAAGTTAATTCCAAGTTTATATTTAAAAATTAAAAAAAAAATATTTTTGAAAATTTAATTTTTACCACAACTTATTTTTTATTAAAAAACTCGCAAACCTGTATATATGTAATTAATATTAATATATTATATAATTTAAAACAAGCAAACGTTGCCATATTGATAACAAGCTGCTAAAAGTTAAGAACTTTTTTTTAAATTGAGCATAATTTTTGCTAAAGTTCTGAATATTTTTTGCACATACTACACTCGTATGTATATCAAGTGTATTTGATCTTGCAAAAATAAAAATTTTAATACATGCATGCAAATTGCGGAGTTTAAATGTTCAATTAATACACTTTCACAAGCAAATAATAGAAAATGGCAAATAAATAATGAGTTTACGCAAAATTTTATTTAAATTCCTATTTATGCAATCAACAAGGGCAATTAAAAGCAATAAACAAACAGTAAAAAATACACACGAAAAAACGTTAACCTCCCTTGCACAAAAGCCTTCACATATACAAAGCACAAGACAGCTTACAAGAATTCGCTTCCGAGCGTTAAGTTTGTATAGCAGCTATATGCTTTAGTTATCCGATCTGTCAAATGAAAAAATTTTCCATACAAGCGCTGGAGTTAGATCGTTAAGTTTCTATAGCAGCTATATGCTATAGTGATCCGATATAAGCAGTTCCGACAAATGTGGTCCACTTGGAGCGAAAAAGACGTGAACAAAATTTTAGATCGTTATCTCAAAAACTAAGAGACTAATTCTTATAATATAGCCTGTTCAGCGTATGAAAAAAACAATGCAACTAACAGCAAAATACAAATTTTTATAAGGAATAATGAATATGTGTATATTTAACGCATGTAAAGAAAATAATATATATATAAATATCTGAATTATGCAATAATAATAAAAATTCAAAAAAATAACAATTTTAATTAAAAAAATGCAATAAACGAGAACAACTTGCAGCCGAAGCAACAATTGCCGCAACCACGTACCACAACACCACACCACCGCCAAGCAAACAAGAGCAAGAGCAAGAACAGTTATTGCAGACGCACAACGCAGTTATTTGAATAAAAGGTAGATAATCGCGCTTATCTGCGCACTGCTGCCGCCTGCTCCACTTTGGGTATTACATCGATGACGACATTATTAACAAACGCCAACGCGCAGCTGAATGTAAATATACAGCAACAACAACAACAACAAGCAAAAAACAGTGTATGCAAAAGTTGATACACAAAATTTCGACAATGTTGATTTACCCCAACGCTCTGCCATTACCAATGTTGGCGTTTGCACACACACATATACATGAATACATACAAAAAACACATATATACACACAGGTACGTCGCGTGCATTTGTATTTAATCTTTAGTCCAATTGGGCCAGGCATATTTATTAAGCGTTTGTTGTTATTTACGAGAGTATTCCCTTAACGGTTGTTGGCAATATTAAGAGCTGTAAATACTTGTACAATTGTATCGCCCAAGCGCAAGTAACAGCGCGAAGAGGAGGAGAAGGAGGAGGAGAAGTAGAGGAATACAAACAACAGTTGCAACAATACTCATTACAAGTCAACAAAAAAAAAACGGCGGTGTCAAACAGTCGGTGGAAATGTGCTTTTGGTGGAGGTGCGTCTGTTGTTATAAATATGTAGGCGGGCATATGCTGCGCTGCGAGAACCTATAACTGCAGCGGCCATAGGCTACACCAGAGCAATTATTACTATACACACGAAATAATTGTTGAAATTCAGCAGACAGCTGGAAGAGCCGCCGTAAGCGGCGGTGAGGGGGGCGCAGGCAAGCGAACCATTATAGCCGCTCATGTGCTTGTGTAAATATGTTTTTATGTATGTATGTACACATTCAGTTAATCAGTCAATATGTAATGAGTGTATGTACATAAATTTCAGTCAATTTACACTGTTGGCTAGAAAACAATAATTGAGTTCAAGTGGAAAATTTTGTTGCGTTTTAATAGGAAAAATCTTAACCAGTTTTATGAGCGAAATAATCTGTAATGCTATCTTGTCTTGCTGTAAATTTCCTAAGCTTATAAGCACAAATAGTTTTTTTTTGCGGTTATTTCAGTAATGTTTTTTGTAAAGCTTTACACTTGATTAGTAGAAAGTTTATTTTAATTTGTTCAATAAGTCTCTTCGTCATTTTCAGTCGTGACGTCACTTTAGCACACTGAGTCAACTGCGCGCGGTGTATACGGGGCTGACTTCTGAAGATTTTTTGTTCGACACGGACTTTGCATAAGGTCTTTATGCTCTATGCTCAGGTAGTTTTTATGATTTCGATTTGAACCGACATTTTAAGTTAAGCTAATTTAACACTGGATGCGTTGACAGTCGCCTCACTTGCAAATAGCTTCTATTCCCGCTCAACTCATACTCTCAACTTACTGCTAAGCTGACGTCACACTAGCATTACTCGCTCTTTTACCACACTTAACACATTTTTTGTATAAACTTATAAAATAGATGCTAGCTTACATAAAGCTTACTTAAAGCTAGCATCTAATACATTATTTTTTTAATATCAAAACTATTTTCGTCATAAAAATAATTTATGCTTGAATGCTTGTAGCAATTGAGATAACGCGTTACCGTATAGCGCTCTTAGTAATGGCGCACATTTAAAATCCGGCTGAAGTGCGTTAATCATAAGCTTTCCAACTGCACGTATTAAGTAACATTTAAGCGCAAAAAATAATCACCGTCTCGCCTTCACTCTCTCGCGTAATCACATTTGTCACAAAATGAAAGCAGCAGGCAACAACAACAACAATAGTCATTTAATGCTTGTTACGTATAGGAAAATTAATTATTTCCAGCTGGCAACAAGATATGTCTGCTCACCCCTTTTCGCCAGCCACTACAGCACGCTGCCGGCGGGATTTTGCATGCCGCCATTTCGCTCGCTTGCCATAGTGTGACAGCATGGCTTATCAGCGAACATATGGCAAGGCAATACAGCTGGTATTGCCACATCGCTGGCGTGACACACTAAATAGGTAAATAATTCACATTACAAATGAGCTCAAGCGGCTATGCACATACATAAGTATGCCTGTATATA